TCTATCTTATTCAAAATCAGTTTAAAAAAACTCTGTAAAATATTTTGTTATAACTTCTATCTTTAACTAAAAGTATTATTTTTTTGTTTGTTTATTTTTCTTTTCTCATTTATTATCCCATGCAAACTATATATTGAAAAAAGTTTACTTTATGTGTGTCTTATATGTTTTATGTCTATATGTTTAATATTAGTAATATATTTTTTTTAAAAAAGGTGTCACTCCTTTACAGGATTATAACTACAAACTTCATTTAAACAATTTCTTAGAAAAAAAAGGGTTAAAGTTACCATACTAATTTGCAGAACTATTAACTTTAATTAGTTAAACTAACTAACCACTAATATATTTTTTATTATTATTAATTTTCTTAAATCCTGATTATTTATATTTGTTTAATTTAATAAAATTTATTTAATTGTTTATTTTAATAAAAATTGTTTAATTTAATAAAACTTAATTCAAAATTTATTCCTTACCATTTTGGTGTTCTATCAGATTTCTGGCTGTTGGCTAATGATCAATAGAGTAAATTTCAATTCTTGAAAATTACTAAATTAAAACCATGTTTCAATAATAGGCATACTAAAAAAAGTAAAAAAATAATATTTATGCAATACTTAACAGAAAAAACTATACTATATTTTCTTTAGAAAATTAAAATTATTCTAATAAATCAAACGCACTGGCATCAGCTCCAGGTCCTGCAGGAGCACTTAGAAATAATCAACACCTAATCATCAAAAAAACCATGATAAATGTTAGCCAAAGAAAATTCTTTACAATTACACGCAATTAAATCAATCAATCAATATATTTCCACTTTAAATAACTGCATATATATATAATATATATATATATATATATATATATATATATATATATATATATATATATATATATATATATATATATATATATTTATATACATATATATATACACACACATATATATATATATATATATATATATATATATATATATATATATATATATATATATATATATATATATATATATATATATATATTTATATACATATATATATACACACACATATATATATATATATATATATATATATATATATATATATATATATATATATATATATATATATATATATACAGTAGCGTCCAAAAGTTTGCTGACAGGCAAAAAAATAAAGAATTTTAATTATATTTCAGGACATACTTTACTAAAGCCAACATATTATATACCAATTAAAAGGTTTTCAAATTTACAATTAGGTTTTGAACAAATAATTATCTAAATAATATTTTTAAATTGGTATACAAATCAACGGTCTTTGATAAGTTCAAAAATTTGCGGACAAAGCATTATTTTTTAAAATAGTTAAAATATTTCAACAATATTTGATCAAAATTTTTGCAAAAGCAAAATCACATTAGTATTTTGTAGGATATCCTTTACAATCAAGAATAGCTTGGCATCAATTAATCATAGAGTCAACTAAATTAATGCAAACGTCAATGGGAATTAAGTCAAATAATTCTTTGATTTTATTAAATAAATCAGCATAATTTGTAGGCTTAATTCCTTTCATTTGACGGTCAACATGTTCCCATAGATGCTCAAAGGGATTTAAGTCAGGTTCTGTGAGTCTAAATAGATTCAAAGAATATTTTCTTTAGCATCTGTGTATCTATAATAAAAATCTTTAGCATCTTGTATCTATAATAAATAAATAGTAAAATGTTTTTCATTTAATATATAGTATCCTTACTTTTAAGTGAATTCAAACTGAAGTTACTTATCAGTATAACACTATGTATATATGTATATATAGTACATTATATAGTGTATTTTATATATTATATCATAGTCATAAGAAATAAGATAGTCTGGCCACTTGCGGTATTTCTTTCATCAACTCTTTGTTTGCATTTTTTAGTGTCCAGTCCGTCGCAGAGTGCACAAAATATATTTTTATCAATTGTTTTTTTATGAATTGCTTTTTTAAATTGCATCTTCTTCAACTAATACTTTAAATGCCTGGTGCTATTTGCTCTATTTATGGATGCAGTACTTCTCGGAGGCATAAGGGAGTTTCAATATTTAAAGTTCCTGCATCTAACGATAGTTTTAATACTTCTTGGAGGGAAAATTTAATAGCCATTATTCTTAAAGATCGTGTTAAAGATATAGATTTGAAGGCTCAAATAGAAAGAAAGTATCTGTTTATTTGTGAAAAGTATTATCTTCCAGAAAGGATACTTCATAATGACAACAGAAAGTCACTAAAACCTGGATCATTACCGACTTAGTGTCTTCCAAAATAAAGTTTTATGTCATCAACTCCTATACAAAGAGAATCTATCGTTGCTAAAAGAGATGCTTCAATGATTTCAAATAGTATTATTACCTTTAAACCTATATATTAATCATACGAAGAGTTCCTAAATCGTATTAGTAAGGTAAAGATTTGTGACTGGACAGTAAGTGTGAGTCCTGTTGTAGCAGAATTTAAACTTTATGGCACAATCCACTTATGTCCTCGGTATGAAATATATGTTGATGACAGTCTTGCTTTTACCATTCGTGTATATTCTTGGCTCATTTCAGATGATCATTCAATATATGCAAAATACAGAAGATCAATGTGACATAATTCAGTTTCAAATTTTATTTCTGTTGTTACTTCTTTTACCCTTTATTGTGAAATAACTGATGTATTTGCTTTAAAATCAAATCTTTATATTAAACATTGTATTTAAAAAAAGTTTGATTTATTTTCATTTAGGAGTGATTTTCCCTTAAATCAGACTGAGTATCTTCGATCTCAATCATGTATTATGCTGATTGAGTTAATGTTATGTTGTTCTTAATGCAAAAGGATTGAAAAAAGTGAAATCATAAGTTTGAAAAAAAATGTTGCCAATACATCTCCAGATTGTCTGAAGCTTACATTACAGAGTGTTCGCCTGGAAAATAAAGAATTAAAAAAGGAATTAGCTTTGATGAAGCAGGAGATTGAAAATTAATCCCTTGCTATAAGTAAAAGTATTGAAATCGATTTAGTTCAAATAATGACAGGAACTGATAAAACCCAGGTTTCTCCGTTTATGAACCTGTTTTGGGAAGAGCAGCAAAAATATTTAAAAAGCTCAATGCAAGGGATTCGCTATCATCCAGCAATAATACGTTACCGTTTGGGATTAGCTGCAAAATCACCAGCTGCTTATGAAGCAGTACGGTTAAATGAGAAAAACAATTCTGGTTTCTTAGTTTTACCTAGTCGTAGGCGATTACGTGACTATAAAAATTATGTAAAGCCAAAGTTGGGGTTTAATAAAAATATAATAAAAGAATTAAAAGATAAAATCGAACATTTTTTAGCTCAAAAAAAATGTATTAATGATTATTGTATGCACGTGATAGGACCATGGCCAGGGTCATCACCTCATTTAAACCCCATAGAAAATCTGTGGGTAATTATGAAAAAAAAGGTGGCCGCTCACAATCCAACATCACAAGAACATCTGAAAAGAATAATTCAGGAAGTGTGGGCAATGGAAACTAGTGTGAAGTACTGTCAGAAGTTGGCGCGTTCCATGCCTTCTCGTACAGCACAGGTGCTAGCTGCAAAGAGATACCATACTAAATACTGATAATTTTGTAATAATTAATAATGTAACAATACATAACAATGCAAAACAAATGATAATCTACAGCAGTTGTGTAACATTTTAGTAACGATAAGTTTATGGAGTGAGCATAAGGCAATCTTAAGTTAAAAATTTGAGGTGGATTCAAACTTGGCCAATACTGCATATATATATATATATATATATATATATATATATATATATATATATATATATATATATATATATATATATATATATATATATATATATATATATATATATATACATATACATATACATACACACACACACACACAAACACACACAGAGTAGTGATAGAGCCTTAAATTTAACTCAACATTGTCAGTTTATCCTAATTTAAAGATATTTTTTCAAAATACTGATTTGATTGTTTTTTTTTAATGTCTTTTTTATAAAATTTTCAAGTTTTTTTTGTTTTAGATGATTTTATGGATGAAATTAGGAAAACAGGTAAAAATTATATTTAGATACATACATACTTTTTATTATTAACTATTATATGTTTTATAATTTTTAACATTAATTTTTTTTTAAGTGTCATTATTATTGTCTAACACTGAGATAAGTGGTAGGGTTATGCTTTTTATTTTTTTGCAATTATATTGTAGATTGTTAAAATACAAATATTACATTTGTTTTTTTTTTTTTTTTTTTTTTTCTACTCTACTCTTCTTTTTTTTTCCCTCTTTTTCAGCATCATTCTCTGGTACTACTTCAACATGTAGGGTTATACTTTATATTTTTAATAAAATACAAGTATCAACATGTTTAGTTTATATTTTTTCCATTTTTTTTAGCATCATCATCTGATATGACTGCAACTGGTAGGGTTATGCTTGATAATTTTATTTAAGTACAAAAAATAACATGTTCAGTTTTTATTTTACCCTACTTTTATTTTATTTTACCCTACTTTTGTTTTATTTTCTATTTTTCAGCAGTGACATCTGGTACTACTACAATTGGTAAGGGTAGGCTTTATACTTAAATTAAAATACAAACATCAACCTGTTTGGTTTTTATTTTATTCTACTTTTTTTTCTCTCCTGCATTTCTTTAGCCTCACCATCTGATACTACTACAACTGGTAGGGTTATGATTTATATTTTCATAAAAATGCAAATATTAAGATTTTTACTTCATCTAACTTTTATTTTATTTTCCCTTTCTTTAGCATTGACATCTGGTAGTACTACTACAATTTTTTTAGCATCGTATTCTGGTACTACTACAATTGGTAGGATTATGCTTTATATTTTTATGCATTTTTTTTTTCAAATTGCAATTTTATTCAAAATACAAATATCATCATGTTTGCTTTATAGTTTTTTTTTTCCATTTCTTTGGCATCGTCATCTGGTACTACTACAGTTGGTAGGATTATGTTTTATATTTTTATGCGTTTTTTTTCAAATTGCAATATTATTCAAAATACAAATATCAACATGTTTGGTTTTATCTTATTTTTTCCATTTCTTTAGCATCGTCATCTGGTACTACTACAGTTGGTAGGATTATGTTTTATATTTTTATACGTTTTTTTTCAAATTGCAATTTTATTCAAAATACAAATATCAACATGTTCAGAGTTTATTTTATTCTACTTTTTTTTCCTTTTATTTCTTTAGCATTGTCTGGAACTGCTGCAACCGGTAGAGTTATGCTTTTATCTTATTATTATTTTAAATGCAAATATCTATTTTTTTTTATTATATTATTTTTTATTTCTTTAGATCTAAATTAGAGCAGCTACAAGCTTTATCGCTCCCAGGACCTCTTTCTGAGAGGTCCTTTAACAAATGGTGCCTTAATAATGGTATGGATGAGTCCTCATTCAAATGGAGAGCTCATCCATACAGGGGTGCTGGGAGGCACCAAGGAAAAAATAGCAATAAAAAAATTTTAAATATCTTTAATCAGTGAAGATATTTACAATTTTTTTGTTGCTGTTTTTTCCTTGGTGTTTTATTCTCAAAGAAATATATATTTTTAATTTTGTTTGTTTTAATTTTTTTAAGTATTTGCTTAGACTATTATTTTAATTTTTGGTTCACAATATAACATGTCTGTTATTGTCCCCAATATATACCATATCAGTTAAATCAGGAAAATGTACTATAGTAGATACTTAACTGTAAAAAAACCCACATGTAAATTTCTAATATTTTAAAGTTTATAATTTGTTGATTTCCACCAGATTTTATTTCTTTTCATTGTTTCGAATTCAATAATTTAGTGTTTATAACTGCTTTTAACTTATGTAAAGAAGATTAAATAAATTTAATCTTCTAATTTTAATCTACGATAGATATTCTAATATGTAAAATAGATAGTCTTAATAATGAAGAAAAAAAAAAGTAAGTAATAAGAAAAAAGAAAAACAGATAATTAATCTTTTATGTATTGAATTTGAATTTTGCCATGTTGCTTATTATATTATTGACATTTCAGTGATGCTGTAAGATTTTTGTTTTTTTCTTTAGAATTTAGAAAATTAAATTAAACTACAGTTTTTGAACGGTCATTTCATTGTTTGTGAAGGTTAAATTATTTTATTATTTTTTAAACAATTTTTTTAAAGAAATAATATTGAAGTTTACAAAAAGGGTTTACAAATACTTTATTATTCAATTTTTTCTTCTACTTTTTGTTTAAGCAGCTTTTTTATTAATTAAATTTTTATTATTCATTATTTTTTAATACTATTCGTTAATTTTTTTATTTAGATTGTTACTTTAAGTTAATTTTTTGTTCAAATATCTCTTATCAGATATATTTATGAAATTTTTTTTATAAAAAATGCACAAGACTGTTGCATAATTTAGTTTATTTTAAATAAAAATTTCCTGTCATTTTTTTAAAATAATTTGTATGAGCAATTTGGAGTATTAAAAAAAAAAGATCACAATCTTCTGGATTAACTCAAGTTTTTTTGTTACTATTATCGATTAAAAGTAAAATTTAAATGGATGAAAATGAGGACAATGTCATTAGGCAAGTTAAAATAATCGTCGCAGAAATGCCAGAAATAGGCTGAGGCGAGATGAAATAAGACATCTTCAAAATATTAGATATGCTGCTCGGCAAAGCGCAAATAATTTGAATTAAAATGAGGACAATGTGATTAGACAAGTTGATAATAATCGTCGCAGAAATGCAAGAAATAGGCTGAGGCGAGATGAAATTAATAATCAACAGAATGCTAGATATGCTGGTAGACATGAAAGAATGCATTGTATAGCAAGAAGTAATACTATTCCAAATTAAAATTATTTAGGAGAAATGAATCATATTTGTCAGCATTGTGGTGCTAAGAAATTTCATGATGAAACACATTTTTTATGTTGGCATAATGGAAAGGTAGTTTCGTCTCAACTTTCACTATTTCCGCAAGATTTACAAGATTTATTTACAGGAAGTAATGTAGATCGAAATGCCAATGTGAATTTTCTAAAATATATTCGAAGTTATAATGCCTGTCTTTCTTTTGCTTCATTTACCGCTAATGTAGTTCAACCCATGAATCATGGGCCGCCATGTTTTAGAATATGTGGTCAGGTTTTTCATCGTGTTGGTAATCGTAGGCCAGATCAAAATATTCCTCCAACATATTGTCAACTATACTGATCTTTGCTTAAATGATTTAATTTTTCGGTTGCAAACTATTATTAGTGAGGAGAACCCATTTGCTCTCGCATTTAAAAACATGGCTGAAGTGGAAGATAAAGAAATTCATCAAGCAGCTATAGAAGGTCGCTCAGTCTCAGTTGAAAAAATGTCTATACTTGAAGGGCAAGATAGACGTCGCTATAATCTCCCTTCACATAATGAAGTTGCAGTTGTATTTGTTGGTGAAGATGGTGCTCCTCCTGCTTTCAGAGAAGTTGTTATTTACCCGAGAGGTCATCCTTTTAAAACTATATCAAGTATGTCTGCCATCTTAGATCCTATGGTTTATCCTCTATTTTTCCCAAGGGGTGATGCTGGTTGGCATAATCAATTGGTTCACAACCCTGAACGTGCTACATTGGCTAGAAATCATGTTACATTATCTCAGTATTACAATTATAGACTTTCGGTTAGACAATTTTTTCTTCGATCTTTTATGGCAAGAAACTATTTCAGCAATATGCTGTTGATGCATATGTCAAAATTGAAGGCCAGCATCTTGCTTTTATCAGAAATAACCAAAACAAACTTAGAAGCGAGCAGTATGATGCCTTACATGAACATGTAAACAACCTTGGAAACGATCATAATGTTAGACCAGGGCGCATTGTAGTTTTGCCATCTACTTATGTAGGAAGTCCTAGAGCTTTAAAAGAAAACTTTGAAGATCCTATGGCTATAATTATAACGCGAGATAACTGAAAATTTATATCTAGGTCAAACTGCAAATGATAGACCTGATTTAGTTACACGAGTATTTAAACTCAAATTAAATAATCTCCTAAATGATATTTTTAAGCATGGTGTATTAGGAAAAGTCTTAACCCATGATCATGTTATCGAATTTCGAAAGCGTGGTTTACCACATGTTCATATTTTACTTCACTTGGCAACTGATGACAAGCTGGAGACAGCACAGGATATCAATAGTTTAATATGTGCAGAAATTCCAGATCCGATAGTTAATTGTGAACTTTATGATGTTATTAAAACTTGCATGATTCATGGCCCATGTGGCATACTGAATCCAAATTCTACCTGCATAAAAGATGGGGTGTGCAGCAAAAATTATCCTAAAGAATTTAATGCCAACACAGTAGTAGTTCATAAAGGTTATCCTCGCTATAGGCGTCGTGTTAATGGTTTGGTTATCAATATTAAAGGCAACAATGTACCTTACAACCCATGGTTATCAAAGAAATATCAAGCCCAGATTAATGTTGAAGCTTGTATGTCTGTTAAGGCTGTTAAATATTTGTATAAATACATATACAAGGGTCACGACTGTGCCAATATTTTGATAAATGAACAAATTAATCATGATGAAGTAAACACTTTTTTAGACTGCCGTTATGTTAGTGCAACTGAAGCATTGTGGCGAATTTTGAGTATCCCATAAGTCATATGTCGCACACTATTATCCGCCCTAGAATTCATCTTCCTGAGAATCAATTAGTGTATTTTAGAGAATGAGCAGAACAAATGGCTTTAGATCGTGCAGCTCAACGTGATGCACACCTTACGGCATGTATAAGTTAAATTCTGAAAATGAAAGAGTACAATGCTATTCATATGTAGACATTCCTTATCATTTTATATTTAATGATAAGTTTTGTAAATGGAAGGTTAGACAAAGAGGTGGTAATAAGGTGATAGTAAGAATGTATAAAGTTAATCCAACTGGAGAATTATTTTTTCTTAGGCTGTTACTTTTGCATGCAAAAGGAGCCAAGTCTTGGGAGGATGTGCGTAATGGTAATGTTAATGGTATTGTTGTTGAAACATTTCGTGAAGCAAGCGTTTTAAATAGTTTGTTACAAGATGACATTGAATGGCAGAATGCACTTTCTGAGGCAGTTTTAACACGTATGCCAAAGCAAATTAGACAGTTATTTGTAATTATTTTGACTTTTTGTGAACCAGACAATCCTTTGCATCTTTGGAATACATACATACATAGTGTGTGTCTATGTGTGTGTATGTATGTATATGATTGTATGAATATCTATGTATGTTTGATTGTGTGTGTCTATGTGTATATATATATATATATATATATATATATATATATATATATATATATATATATATATATATTCATATATATATATATATACACACACATATATATATATATATATATATATATATATATACATATATATATATATATTTATATATATGCATATATACATATATAAATATATATACATATATATATGCATATATATATATATATATATATATATATATATATATATATATATATATATGTATACATATATATATGCATATATATATATATATATATATATATATATATATATATATATATATATATATATATATATATATATATATAGAGAGAGAGAGAGAGAGAGAGAGAGATTTGTAGGTCATCATGTTTTTGTCAGTTGTATAACTGTTTAACAAACTAAAACATTGTGTATTATAATATCATAGTATTGTTGTTATATTTTTGTATAATCTGATCAATTTATTATCGTATAGTTGTAATATAGCGTATAATACTATTATACGCTATATTATGTTATATTAATAAAATAATAGTATTATATAATAATATAATAATATGATCATAGTATAATAATATGTTATACTAATAATATAATAACATCTTAATATAAATAAATTAAATACATTAGGTTAACTTAATTAATAATATAACATCTTAATGGTTGTCATAAAGATGTTATATCAATATTTATTTATAATATCACATCATGATGCATGTAATTTAAATATATTCGGGCCCTATTATTAATAGGGTCCGAATATATTAAAATTACATGCATCATGATGTGATACTACAAATAAATGTTGATATAGCATCTTTATGACAACCATTAAGATGTTATATTATTAATTAAGTTAAACCTAATGTATTTAATTTATTTATATTAAGATGTTATTATATTATTAATATAACATAACATCTTATGCAAAATAATAGTAACATTGTTATATAAAATAATATATTATAGTATATTGTATATTATTTGAATTATATTTTAAAAGATGCTGTATTGTTAGAATGCAGTTATGATTTTGGTAATATATATAATTATTGAATTATTATATTCATAAAAAAAAAAAAAAATATCTTTATAAGTATTAATAAAACACTATATATTTACAAAAAAGCAAGTATATCTTTATAAATATTCTATTTCACAGTTTTTTGTTATATGGTATGTGTCTCATTAAGTTTAACTATCATAGTTCATTTAGTTGTTTTAATAGCTTTATTTTGTTTTAGTTTAAATACAAATTTGATTAATTTGGTCAAGATAATATCTATCGTTAAGCTCAATATACTGCTTTAAACAATTACTCTGATGTAGAATGTGTTAAAAAAATCTCATTTGTATAAAAATATATAGAAGCCAACACATTAACAGTGATTTGTCACCAAGCATATTGAGGAGCAACCCAATTTCTTCAGAAGCAAAAATGTAACTGAGAGTTTTTAAATTAGCTGGGAGTTTTCAAATAGTATTTGGTAAAAACAACTAGTCAATTCAAAAAAAGAATAATTTTTATTTTTTTTCTATTTTTGAATTGAAAAAGACATTAGAATATAATCGTAATGCAGATTTCCTTTTTGCTTATTAACAGTCATGATTGCACCATTTAATCAGCTAACTATCCAGAAAAAATTTATTTCAATAAAGTTCACCTACAGATAGATAGTGATGTGGAGCAATCCTTTAATCATATCAAAAACCATTGGATGTCACAAGAGACGTAAAGCACTTCAATGCTCCTAAACATATGCTTACCCAAACAATATATTGCAAAATATAATTTAAGTGTAAATAGCTGGAAAACCTTTACAATTCTTTAGGATTAGAAATTCGAGAAGACATAAACTTTGAGGATAACAACGAAGATGATGTACACTATGTTTAGGTTGAATTAACACAAGTCAACCAATTCGACTTGGCATTGTAGAAAGAACACTAGTTAAAACTATGTTATTAAGTTAAAGGAGATATTGGGTCATATATGATTTACGTGATATTTATGAATGAAAAAAATTAAAGTTTTTTTATTATGTATTAATTGCATATTAAACAATTTAAAAATTTATCTGCCCTTAATAACCTCTTTGAACAATAATCAATTCTGAACCCTCTCTACTTCTTTTCAACTTAAAACTATTTTCCTAATATTTAAAATTTTTTTTTAAAAACATATATTCAATAAAAAGTATTTAGTTTTTACAGCAAAGTTTATAAAAATATTATTGTCATTTAATTAGGATGTGAAAAATGTTAACTAGTAAAAACCCCTAATTTAAATTAGTTAGAAATTATATGAATTCAATATTAGAAAAGTTTGTTTTATAAAATACGAAAACTTGGTTTATTCAAACAAAAAGTAACTTGGTTGATTTTTGCGTAAGTTTTTGCCTAAGTTTGGCGCAACTCGTGCGCAACCCTAACTTTACGGAAATGCTGCGAAACATTGGTGATGCCAATACTACTCGATGTACTTAAGAATAGTTCTGTAAAATACGCAATTTTTAAGACCAATAAAAAATCAGCAAGAAAAATCTTTATATTTGCAGGTTCCAAACATAATAATTTAAATTTTTCAACGAATTCAAATAAAATAGCTCCCCTTAAATTATATTGCGCTGATGAAAATTTAAGTTAAGTTACAACCTTTGAATATTTAAGGTTGTATGAGATGTTATTAAAAACGTTCGTATTTGTTTACTTCGCTGAGCGAGGAAAAAGATTTACCTTTTCATACTTTCCAATATTCTTGTTTGTAACGTATATTAATCATTAGAAACGAGTGGCATGTCAAAAAGTTAGTTTTTATAAAAATATTTTGGCTTTTCTGATTGTTTTCTGTTTTTTTATATGAATAATTCGGTTATAAATCAACTTTAAATAGTTAATTTGAAACAATTATAGATTAATAATTCTAATAATAGATTAGTAATTCTACAATTTAATTAAAAAAGCAACTAATTTTATTATAAATCGATATAGCGAAAAGAAATCTTAGTAAGGAACTTTTCATAAAACTGTTTGAGTCGGGTCTGCAAACTAAAACATTTTCACTCGAAATTAATATTTTGTTCTCGATTTTCTTTTTTATTTATCTTAATGATGTTTTTTCGGACGGCCATGTTTTTTTATAGAATAAAGATTATAAAAGTTTTATATGAGTTATTAAAACTAATCATTCTTGGGTTAACACTTTGCTATTCCATAGAGAATTATTTATTTATAATATATATATATATATATATATATATATATATATATATATATATATATATATATATATATATATATATATATATATTATGTATATATATATATATGTATATATATATATATATATATATATATATATATATATATATATATATATATATATATATATATATATATATGTATGTATATATATATATATATATATATATATATATATATATATATATATATATATATATATATATACAATTATATTCTACAATTTAATTAAAAAAGCATATACAATTATATTCTACAATTTATTAATATATATATATATATATATATATATATATATATATATATATATATATATATATATATATATATATATATTAATAAAATATTATTTTAGTTAATAATCTTTGTTGTTGTGCGAATGTTTAATAATTTTTAATGGCACTATAGAAATGATAACAACAATATATAACTTTAATATATTTTTTCTACATTTAGATATAAAAATATATATTAATATTGACATATAATATATTATTATGTCAATATTAGATCCGTTTACTAGTGGCTTTGCAAAGTCAATAGTTTTTCTAATTTAAAAAAAAAAAGATAGCAGAGAAAAAAAGATTGAATGAAAATATAATCTTATATAAACATAAAATTAGACAACAACAGTATGATGAATATAATACATTTTTTAACCTCAAACAGTTCAATATAGATTATATTCAATTCTCTAAAAATTTTCCTAAAGTTATTCTTCATATGAAAATACTTGGGAAAATAAATTAGTTAAGAATAATGTAATGAAGACATTTTCCAAAAAGAAATAGTTGAATCTTAGTCAGGAAATTAAAGAAAACCATTCACTTGTAAATTGTTTATAATGCAGAAATGATTTGATATTGAAAAAATCTTTGGGTTTGTACCCTATTAAAGGATTGATACAAAAAATCAAAGCAAAAAAAGGTGGATTATTAAAAAAGACCATCGGTTTTAGAAATAAAATAATAAACAAGAATGATCAACAGTATTTAATAAACAAAAGCAAAACTTTTTCGAACAATGCTAAAGAACAAAAAGGAAACAGTTTATTTGTGAATATCTCAAAACAAAAGTTGGTATTATCTGTAAAAAAAGACATTGTAAAACAACTTCTAGAGACAAGCGTAGAAAGGTTAGATTTTATTAATAAAGGTTATTATTTAATTTCTAAAACCGATGGTCTTTTTTAATAATCCACTTTTTTTTGCTTTGATTTTTTGTAGCAATCCTTTAATAGGGTACAAACCCAAAGATTTTTTCAATATCAAATCATTTCTGCATTCTAAACAATTTAATAAAATATTAGATAAAATTTGAAAAAATATGTATAAATATATATTATTGTAAGCTTTTGAGTGTATATACTGACTATCATCTTGATTTAAAATATTTTAGATCGTTTGCTGTACCTGTGTCATTAAGAAAGCGTAGCAAATTAAGATTACATGAAGGTTTTGAGTCAAAATCAAATGCAATACTTCGTACAAGTATTAATAGGCAATACATCGAGAAGGTAACTTGAATGCAATAAAATACATTCATTACACATATAATAACAATATATTAAGATAATATAGTACTAATATGCAGACATGGGTTTATTTATGTATTTATCTTTCAATATTTAGGGTTTAATGATTAAAAAAGATCATCTTGGTTCAAGATTCGGTTACAGTTGGGAAAAAAAAAAGCGTTTACTTTATCTTGAAAATTTACCTTCCAATCAAAATATAAATTTTACCAGTCTAGCTATTAAATACAATCTTCATAATAAGAAAGGTTAGTTATTTTTTGTTATCATGTGTTATATAATTATATTACAAAATAGATATGTATAAAAAAAATTATGAGCACCGGGGGTGCAGAGAGAAGTTTAGAAGCCTCGGGTAGATAAATAGGATGGCCCAGGGTCCGATGAGCACTAATATGTATAGGTGAAAGGTTGATTTAAAACTTTTAGACTGGTATGATTCTCTTGATTTGTTTTATATAAAAATATAAAACAGTGTTAAAGTTGTAATAATTCTAAACACTTTTCCTTGCTCTCAAGATCTTCTATCTTTGTTATATATGTAATGTGTTCTCTTAAAATCTAATAGGGAAAATACCTGGCAATGCTGGTCAGGTCATAAAGGAGCTTCTGAAAGAAAATGGTGTTGATGTAGAAAAATTTAATTTAAAGTCTATTTCTACTTTTAATCAAACTGAAAATACAAACAATTGTAATTCCAAGCTTCGAAGGAGAAAAAGAAGGTATGTTTTTGTTCTCAGGAACAATTTTATTTTTTAGTTAAATCAATTATAATTTCTTAATTGTCTTCATTTGTGCCAATATTATATTTTAGAAAGTGTATTATGTCTTTGAGCATGAATAATATAATAAAATTTTATTATAACTTAAGATGCTTAATATAAATTCATTTTTGTTTTTGAATGTTTATTATTTAAAAGTTACATGAGATAATAAATATCTCATTTTATTTATTGTAGTTTTTTTTATTGATTTAGGTTAAATGTACCAGGCTACAAAAGTATTTCTATACCAATGGAAGTTTCTAATAAAGTACTTAAAGATAAGTTAGAGCAAGATATTGAAAAAGGCAAATATAGAGTCGGAAAATTAATTGTTCCAAAAACTTTTACAAAAACAGTTTGTAAAAACAATAGCTTAGTTACTGAAGAATTTTTAGTTTCTGGCAGAAAATTAAGTATTGATGATATCAGAGCAGATATGTATGAGAACCATAAGGCTTTTATGAGATTAACGAATGATCAAAAGTATTTAGCCTTAAGCAGGGAAACAATAATTGACGGTTTGAAAAGAATCGATGAGTTAAATGATGACTATGAGAATAGAAGTTTTTGCATTTAA